TGTGCGGTTAATAGTACTAAGAATGCACAATTTAATGTATTGTATTGTATTTTGCTTTTTGCTTTCTTTTGTTACATTAACAAAATGCAACAACTCCTGTCATTATGGGTCAACCATTTTGCATGTGCCTGGAGAAACCTAGCAGACACAAGTAGAACTCCGCACAGATAGAAACTATTGGTCCAGGGATCAACCCCAGAATCTGTGAGGAAAGAGTCATAGTAGGAGTGGGTTAAATTTTAAAAAGTCTCTCAAGTTGCATGTATGTAAAGTTAGAGAGCATTGCAAATCAATGATTCTTTAAGTCCTGTTCAAATGAAGCAAAGTGAAGTCAAAGTCCAAATGAAATCACCAGACATCCATCATATTGATTGGGGACATTGACTTTCTACTTACAACATATTATATTGTTTTTGAATAGGCAAGGATATGGTTTTAATACAGTACATTTAAGGTAATGCCACCAAGTCAAGTTATAGGTCAGATCTGTTAAAGGACACATACTATGCAAACAACATACCTGGAGTTGTATTTTTGCTTCACTCACATTTGTTTCATGAATGCATTCATCAAAAGTTGTTTTCTCTGAGACCTCACAATTGCTCTGTGTGCATTTTGCCTGGATTGTTGCATCAAAGGAAAAGAGAAATTATGGACTTCTACACAGTTTTTAAGCCCATAGACCATTACTGGACTTGTTCTGTGGTGAAATTTTGTATACCTGCCTTATTAGCATAGCAATGCAGCCAAAGATCTTCATTTGTTTCTTTTCTAACTGTTCATTCCCATTTATGACATCAGGGGGAGTTCTAATGCTTAAATACATAATTGAAAATGCAGGTGTAGACATTATTTTCAGTTCAAAAATTTGAAATACTAATCCCAAGATAACAGCAAAAACATGTTCAAAAGTGAATTAAGGCCACAAGAAAGCATAATATTTGATTTAAGAGGCAGGTTCGTTTATAGTAAGAATGCATGTTTTTAAGTTTTAATTTTAAATGTTTTTAATTTAATTTTTTTATTTTTATTTTAATGCCATACCCCAGAACATTCCAGGCAAAGCTATGGCGTCTTCAGGGAAAGCAGAAAAGTTACATATTGCTCCTTTAATATTATCCCTATCCTATCTCATGTTAAATGGGTGTACCATTTAAAGTACCATAATACAGGAAAGGTCTACCTGGAACATCTCATCACACTATCTGTTCCTGCTTGAATTTGTGTACATATTACGTAGACAGACATTTCTTTTCCACGCAGTAGAGCCTAGAGGGAACTTCCTGTATTTTTGTAACCCGGACAAGAAGCTGTTGATTACCAGAGTGTGTGGGCGCCAATGGGACAGTGACATTAGCAGCAGCATGGGGGAAAAGGAAATCAATCAGAGGAGTTAGCACAAGGAAGACAATGGTTGTGTGGCAGGGGAGGAAACCTGCATAGGTAATGTGGGTGTATTCACAAGGTATATCTATTTGCATTAAGCTTATAGAGGCATTCCATGTCTCCAGCTTTTCCATATGATCCCTGTACAGGCTAGAGCATTATGATCCTACAGGTGAAGTGAATAACAGTCACATATTCATGGGTGGAGTATTAAGTTATCAAGTTAAAGGGACAGTTTGGAATTTTGGACAGAGGACCTCATTTCCTAATTAGCCAGAGTGTTGGAGACGTGTGGAGACACTTTTTAAAATATTCCATCCAGTCCTTGTATTTGCAGAGGTAGCTGGTGCTAGGCTAGTGCATGTCAATGGCCATAGTTAGCCTGCCACTAAAATCCACCCTATCAAATCTATTGTTACGCCAGACTGCCGATGTAAATGTCTGTATTGATAGAATAATGTTTGAAATAAAATTAACCTTGCATCTCATGAATTCGCATGTTGAGGAACTATTTTTTCAACAGCAGTGGAATTTTACTGTGCCAGAAAGATAGGTATAGTGTACTGTATAGTCAAACCATTCACAAAACTCTGCCAACAACTAGTACACCCCAAAGATAAAATCCCACAAGAAGAAAAATGCAACGCCATATATGAAATCCAATGCAAATCATGGAATAAATGATACATAGGGGAAACTGGCCGGGCTTTCCACATTCGAAAAAAGGAACACCAAAAGGAATGCCAAAAGGAAACATCAGGGAGACTCACCAGAACACAAAAAGACAAAGCAGAACAGGAAAACCTAAAATCCACCATATCAGACCACTGTAAAAGAAATAACTACATGAAGGATTGGGACAGGGCTCGGGTCATTGTATCAGAAAATAACAAGTTCAAACACTGGATCAGGGAGACCATTGAAATCAGGAAACGAGGCACGGACAGCATTAACTGTGATGACAGAGCGTTCCTCCTTTCACACACCTGGGACACCCTCCTCCAGAGAACTCCAGGCGATGGGAGGCGTGGTCAGTCTGAGCGACCTGCCAGCTCCATCAGGCTGACCACACCTACAGGAAATAACTACAGCTGATATACGACATGTCACCACCAACACCAGGGACAGTTCTGAAGATGGCTTTGTGGGCTTCTACCCTGTGTTTTAAAGTTTCATTCATATGTTAATACGCCCTGTAATTTGCCCTGTTACATGCTGTGTATGTTTTTGGACTTTGGAGTGTCAATGGTGAATGTATATGGGACAGATAAGGGGTGTGTCTCCAACCTTTAGCATCTGCCAGTCTGTTATGGGACACGTGTTGGGACAAACCTGCTGTGTATTTTTCCATAAAGATGCTAACTCAACAGTTATGCTGGTATAAAAGGCATCCAGTTTTTCTGTGCATGAGTGGGGGAACGCCGACCACGTTGTCGAGGGACGACTGACGCACTGAGAGACGCCGCGTAGGCAAAATCATGCTGAATCAACTTGAATCTTGAGACCTGTATCTGCCTGACTCAAATAAAGAGACATGTGAGACCTGTTCTAACTCTCCAAGCCTCTTTCTTAACATCCTCTGTTCAGGCTGCCTCCAGGAGAAGCTGACAGCTTGCAGAGAGCAGCCGAAACATGTCAACAAGGTAAATACACTTTACTGTATTGAACCCAAGAAGTTAAAGGCTGGTAGGTGATATCAGTCCGCCGCTGCCAAGCTTTCTATCAGGAAGTACAACTCACTGTTGCTGCTCAGATATAAATCCTTCAAATGCAAGGTTGTTTTTACTTCTAAAATTATTCTATCAACACAGATATTTACATCAACAGTCTGGTAAAAATAATAGATTTGCTTCAGGTGCTTTGTGGAGGAAGTAAGACTGTTTTTAGTAGCAGCCGGATAACTATGGCCATTGACATGCGCTAGCCTAGCACCAGCTACCTCTGCAAATACAAGGATTGGGTGGAATTGGCCACTGACAAGGCAGTATGATCCAAATGTATTACAAGTGTTATATTATGTTATTATAAGGCAGTGGAGATGTTGGAAAAAACATTTGAATTATAATTAACCAGCATGGCCACTGCAAAAATAAGTAAAAAGGACGCACCGTTTTGTTCTAGATTTCACAGAGGCAGGTAGATTACAGTTTATAAATCATTAATTAATAGAGATGAGTTAAAATTGTTGGCATGTAACCATATTTGCAGTACACCTTCCATTAATACTATAGCTACAACCATAGTTTTAGCCCACCTTTCATTGCCATAGTGTCCAGATTTTGAGCTGTTATTGCTCAAATGGCTGAAGTCAGAGCTGGAAATGCTTGAAATTAAGCAAATGGTTATGATCCAAAACATTAATAAAAGTGGTCATAATGTTATTTTGTATATTTGACTTATTTAACAAAATCATCTCACTTGCTCTCAACCTGTAGTGACTCAGGAGTGGTGAATGGTTGACCGGTATTCACAGCTCAAAGTTGTGTTAACCTTTTAAGACAAAAGACTGTGACGTGTGAGCTTTTGCTAATCCAGTGCGGATGAATGTCATGTTGCTTTATTCATCCAAAATAAAGTGTGTCGCCAAGGCCTCCAGTGAAACATTTCAACAATTCAAACTACAGAGTGAGGGAGAATTCATTGCTATAAAACTAAAGTTCAGGCTAGCTCCACATTGGCTGGCACCCTTTCTACAAACTGTTGGACTTTAGCAACAGCAACTATTTTGGTAATAGTGGATTTCTACTGTGTACAAATCCATATACTCTTAAACAGTGCCATTGAGTATGTTGAGGTAGAACTGAATGAATTTCACTGTGGGCAAAATGTCAAAGTCTTTTTTTTTTCCTGGAACAATAAAGGCTGCAATGTGACGCTTGCTTCCCTGACAAGCCACTGACGTCACCTCTCCTTGATCAACACTGACAAGAAGAGAAATTCAACACCTTTTTTCAGCTCTTCAAGATGGCGGACATGGCAGGGCTTTTTTCTTGCGGGCAGTTAGTTTGTGCAGAGTCAAAGGAGCAGGAAGTGATTAAATTGCCATATAGTGACTACTTCTAAAGCATTTAACTTGCCATGACAGGCAGAAATGGTGATGCACAAAGACACTCAGGGTGTGATCCAGAAAGCAGTTTTAGTCAAAGAAAAGTTATCTGTCCTGCTGGTATGGAGGGGGTTAGAGAAAAGTGACAACAGGCAAAGTGAGTCAGACATTACAAAAGCTGTGAACATTGTCTACAAAAACCCATTAATAGAAGTAGGAAAACTGACTCATGCCAAGAGGTAAACCAGGGTTAAGGGAATTTTATGAACAAGGCAATCAGTCGACCCTAAAGAGGAGTATTACTATTAAAACAAAAACTGCCACCTTGAGAAAATGTGTCAGCAGATGTAACTCCAGGAAAATGAAAAAAAAAAAGTTTTGTTTTCATTTCCTTGTTTGTTTGTATACCAAATCACCAAACAAACTAACCAATGTCAAAAGTAAATTCTTGTTATTACGACTGAAAACATGGTTAAAATGAACACATACTGTAAACATTCATTTTATTTCAAACATTCAGGTACACATCCTCCTTGCAAAATCCATGAAAATAAGTATTTGTGTGCCAAGTGGAGGTGAAACGTCAGCCTCAGCCACACAATGAAGACATCCTTGGAGATGGTCTGTTGTTTGGCTGCAGTTGTCAGGGAGTCCTCCACACTTGGGCAATAAGGAAAAAGGATTATTTGCTTTGGCCGTGAATGGAGCCTCTAATCAGATCTTTGTGACATGTGAACACACTGTTTGTCTGCTTCACCGCCCACTTCACGCTCAATCTCTAAGTAGTTTTCCTCACCTTTTACCCCAATACAAATCATTCTGCACAATACTATACAGACACCATAAAGCACAAATTAATGATAATGTATACAAATCATAACAATTATATTATTTAAGAATGAAAAGGAAAGCATAAAAATACATAGAACCAGGAAAAATTAAAAAGCCAGTATGTAACTTTTCTGGTGAGAGGTCTGCATCCTGTTTGTCTCCATAGAGATGTTATTACGACTACAGTTTAATGCCATACTGTAGAACATTGCATGTAAAGTAATACCATCTCAATGGAGACAAGCAGGTGGTGGACCCTCCACCTGAAGTTACATGATGCACCTTTATTGAAATGACACTCCATGAAGACTTTAAGACTCAAAGCAGTACAGAAAAAAGGCTCTAAGTCACACAGAATATAGCTAAAAGGCTGGTGCACATCATGCACCTTATCTGATCTCACAATCCTGCTATTGTAATGGAACACCGGTGAAAGCAGAATATTACACGGTATGAGACATTCTTAGTACAATCCATTCTTTATGTCTGCCCCAGGTGGAAGTGTTTGGGGCAAGTGGAGGCTGGACGCGGGTTTAAGATGTGGAGAGAGTGCTGAGGTAACCATGATGATAAGGAGTGCACCTTGCCATCGCTTTGTACATTGTGTTTCAAAGTGGATCTAGAAGAATTACAGGATGATTCTTAGGTGAGATTATAGAGACGTGTTTCAAAAACATCAATAGTTCATTGTGAGGACATTTGGCTGATCATAGTTTTGTTTGTTTACAGCTTTTTAATGCTTAAGATATACAGTGCTAAGCTGTGCATGGAAAAGAATACTACTAAATCTAATAAAGTTATACTGCATTTTATCATTTATTTCATTTTATAAAATGATCAGGTTTGTAACTACCAAGATTTTATATCTGTACGACAACTTATGTTGGAGGGGCAGAGCCTAAATAAGCAACTTAGAGCTTTAGATTACTTCCTGAACAATGACAGCTTGTAGAAGACAGCGTGAAGGTCTTGGGTTGTGCTATACAACTTATATAACGGTACAAAAGCACTTTAAAGTCAAGATGAATAATACAGACTATAACTTGTACAGTTTCAAGGTTAAGAATTTGCCTTTCGTGGACAGTGAGCAATTTTCTCTCATTTTGCAATCATTTGTTCATTGCATTTGAGCCTGAAGATAAAATTAGTGGTCAAACTTAATGGAAAGTAACAGAAATGGTTTGAATTATGGTTTGGGCTAAGTTATGGCTGTCTGTCAAGCCTATTAAGTTGAGGTTTGAACAAAGCCAGATGCAGCTTGATGATCCTCTGTCCAAAAGGCGTCATTTGAACAGTAACCTAATTCTTGTTGACAGGTAGGAGGACCTGTTTAGTTTCGTCCCGGACTGTCTTAAGAAAGCTCATGATGCTGGAGCCGCCTGTTCCTCTCTCCTCCAGGGCCGTGGGTGCTTTACTGATCATTTCTTCTTTAGTTTTCTTCTCGTAACGTAACTGGCGGGCACGGGCAGCAGGTACTGTTATATAGCGACTCACTATGTTTATGTGGTAGTTTCGAAGCTCAATTAACTTGGTCACACAAAGCTGGAAGGCCAGGTTTAGCTCTTTGTCATATTGTTCTCGTACAAAATTATTTAAGGATGGCTGTTTAGAGATGTCCTCGATCATTTGCCTATGAGCAGGAGGCATGTAGTCCCTCATACGGATGAGAAAGGCTCCTACATAGGGGTATAGTATTTTGAGTTAAAAATACATCAACATCAACCAACATCTACAGTCAATTTAGGGCTAGGTGACAAAAAATAAATCACAATTTCTTTCCTCACAATTTCACAATTTTCAATGTTATCATTTTATATTGACTTATAATAAACAAATACAAATTTGATTAGATTTTTTAAAATTTTATTTTATTACTGTGGTTCAAAACAAGAAAAATTAAGACTTTTTGCCAAAACATAATTGTAAACAGTCTTACCAGGTTTGTCCTCATGCTTGATGCCAAAAACTTCATCTAAACAGTGCAATAAGCTGCTCTGTGCCGCACTCCCTCCAGAAAACTCCATAGGCTCAGACTGCACTCCTTCATAGATTAGACCATTCGGCATGCTGGGATTGTCCTTCCAACTTTTGAGAAAGCATAAGACACAGGTTTTATTAAGCAGACATTTTGAGATGCACTGTGATTTCTCATATGTTACAATGATTTCAGGGTTTGGGTATGATTACTGAATCATTGGTTAGAGCTAATACATCCGTATAAGCTGATTCTCTATAAGGAATGCACCTGCATCAAATGTCAGCACTGATACTGAAAAACTGGTACGACTGGGTATCAGCTCCATAATATCTGTTAAAACAATATTATGATTGGGCCTTTAATTTAATGTAGTGAGACTATTCACAGGCTGATTTTGGCCTAGAACATCTCATAATATTGGAGCTTTTATTCATATGAAGCTGATCTGTGGTTATGTGAAGGATAAATAATAGTTGCATAACACAGTTGGAGTAAGAGTAATAAGTTTGTGTTTAAAGGAAATAAGTACCATTTTCCATCCCTACACTGGTATCAGTTAATACATGATATCAGCAGATACTTAATAATATATATCAGTACTGGATCGGTGCATCCCTATTGTCTACACCCTTTTGTTGTACATCTCACTATAACTCACTACATCAATAAATCTCCTCTTTGGTCATCCTCTAATGGCTTGAAAAACCACATAACATCCACCTTATAGTCCATGCTGAGAATTTTATTTATTTTTTTGTATATAATTTCAAGGTGGGGCTTAAAGTAAATAATTAATCTTTACTGTGGTTTTAAAGACATCCGCATCATTCCAAACAAAAGTGTGGAGTAACAATAGAGTTTATCTTAATTTTTTAGTTTGGAACTACAAACATTCCCACTGCTGCAGTTCAGAGGTAATGCACCTGAAGTAATTGAACCTCTATGAAATAATACCAGACTTAAACAACTCAAAAGCTGTATAGCTATACACAGGCTAATCCATTTGACCTTCTACCTCTCATTTCAGTATCCTTTTATTTATTTATTCAGTATCTTTCTAAGGCATGTTAAAACCATCTCAATTGGACAATTCCCACATGATTTGTCTCTCTGATGTGTTCTTTACTGATAATATTTTTTCTGCAAACCATACATCACTGCTTAAATCACCATTAGAGTTTAATTTACCCATTTACCCAGACAGGTAGATCCTTATAACACCATAGAAAACAGAAGGCTCCACATACACTGTAAAGACAAATATTTGATGAACGAATCAATAATACAAATATAATTGATATTTGTACTGTAGCACTAAACACACCATGCATAAGTTTGAATGCCTCAGTCATGTCGTGTATAGACTTGCTGATGTCCTGCAAAGCCCGGGCCACAGCCTCAGTGTGCCCACAGCTCACTCCCCTGAACACTTGAGGAATGCTCTGCAAACACAAACATACGCTGTTTAATCCCACACTTTTGGCTTTACAATACACGAAATCCAGAACTTCAAAATATACTGTACCTTGAGTGCTGGAATTGCTGCAAGCTCCACCAAGAGAGTGACCATAAAGAAACCCCTCAAACTTTCTCCCCCTGGCAACCTGACCACCAAATCCAAGTTCCTTAAGAACATGATTATAACTATTACTGTTACACTTACTTGATATAACTACTATTAAGTAAGTATTTCACACATACTCCATGTCAAAGGGCCTGTAATCAGAAGGACATAATATGATTAACACACATAGCTGCAAAGGTTGATGGCAAGTTTAATATTTTGTAGTGTGAATGGTCATACTTTTCTGGATCCCGTTTTTTCCAGTTTGCCAAGACTGCATCAGCATGTATGAAGATAGGGGGAAGACCTAATCTCTGTGACACCTCCCAATATGGAACAGCCAGGTTTCGTGGCAGCACCTTAAAATAAACCTCTACATTTACATGAAAGAAGGCAATCAACAGACATTTGAGATGTAGTTTGTATAGTGAGACCATATCATTTGCGTATTAAATGCCCTGTCTAAATCTTACAGTACCTCTGATTTAAACAAACACACAAGACAGAATCTATTGGAAAGTGGCTGTGAATCAAATACTTTCCCCCTTTTTTATGTAATTTATTGCATAGTAATCTATTCCATTTATTGGTTCAGTGGCCATCACAGGAAATGTAAAAACAATCACCTATACTCTTTGCAACATTATCCTTTTTATAAGCCTAAATAATATGAAATGGTACTTTGACAGTGTTGTCCTCTCCGTCCTGCCAGACGTAGCACATGGTTGTAGCGCCTAGAGCCAGGTGGGCCAGCCGCAGCTCTCTGTGTGTCTGCAGATACTGGCTGCTCAGCAGTGGCATCTGGACAAAGGCAACAGCTCTGAACCTTCACACCAGGGTCAACTGTCCTTGTGAGTTTGTTGTCCTTACTTACCCTGCTCACACGAGAACGCAGCTCATGGGAGTGCACCAGCTCTGGGAGATGGAGGACTATATCCATCCATGGCTGGTAGTACAGTGGGAGCTCTGTCTGCAAATCATGTTTATTATATATACATACATATACATACATATATATATATATATATATATATATATATATATATATATATATATATATATATATATATATATATATATATATATATATATAATATATATATGTGTGTGTGTGTGTGTGTGTGTGTGTATTTGAAATGTTTTTTATCTTTTCTATTTTAAGTAAACATCTTTTCTATTTTAAGTAAACATGTTCATGTGCTGTTTTTAAAAAAAGTTTTTTTTTAAATGTTTACTTATTTTGTGTCCCCCCTGGCAATAAAGGTTTCGTTCATTCATTTTGATTCTCAGGTCAGGTTTATTTGTGCTTGTATTGCTGTTTTTGAACCAATGAGCGCACATGTTTCAATAATTCATTAAATACTGTTTGGGACATTAAATACTAGTAACACAATAAATAAGTATTAAGTTCTTTTTGAAGCACTATTTAATATAAAAAAAAAAAAAAAGTCAGTGGTTGCATTCACATTCTTGAAGGCATTTTCTTCTAATTAATCATTTAATTATTATTTTATGTCATTGTACTTTTTATAACTTTGTATATGGTTGCATTGTTATTGCTATTTTTGTATCTATATTTTTTCTGTCTCAGGGCCTGCAGATGGAAATTTGCTCAGAGAGCTACAGTCTTATACAAAGCATCTTTTCAGTGTTTCTTTGATTAATACCATGCACATGGTCCCTGTCAGATAACCTAAATAAACTATAATAAAACAAATACTGTCATAAAACCTGACATGTTTCAGCAGTAGGACATCCACCTCCAGAGGTGTCAGCTAACTGTTGTGATGTGTCTCTTATCAGTTGTTGTTCTGAGGTGTAGTCAGTTTGACAGATCTGCCAGACCAGGTGTGGTCTGATAGATGGTGGTTTCTGGAGAGGTGAGTCCCATGTGTGAGCCAAGATAAATGCTCCCTCATCTCTGTTCATGGTCCATGCACTCTGCTTCCTGATTTTAATAGGCTCTTGTGACGAGGGAGCGTTTACCTTGGCTCACACATAGGACTCACTTCAGAGACCACCACACGGGCAGGTGTGGTCAGTGTGTCGAGGAACAACACCTGATACGATAAGATAAGACAGATGCTACACCAGTCAGCTGACACCTTGGCAAAAGCAGAAGTCCTACTGACGCCATGAAATCTATAAATGTTAAACCTTATTATTTGTTTGGGACTGGCTCCCAAACATCAATCTCATACTTTGAGGCGGCATCATGCTGGGGGTGTTCAACATGCATCTCTATTGGTGGAATGTTAACAGCTATCATTGTACACATATGGCATTGTACACAATACACACATTAGGAAGAACTGCCAGAAATGTCTGAAAAGTCAAGAAAAATACTATATGGATTTAAACACATTTTCAAGAGCCTGTGAGTGTCTAACTGAAAACTAGCTTGCGAGATTAATTTTACAAAACTTGTTTAAATGCACAAATCTTCTCACCCATTGTAGTTCTAACCAAGTCAACTCTTTCTGGTCAGACTGTGTAAAAATAAAGCTCAGATTAAGTCTAACTTGAGTAACAGAGCTTCTAACAGAGCAATGCTTTCAGTTATCTTCACAACCCCAAGAAAGGTTGATGACATTAGCTGCAAAGTATCAATACTCTTCCACAGTATGCCATAAAACACATCTATCCCCATTGAGAATGTTCTGAAATATGGTTTTAACTTTCCCATGGAATCATGCAGATAACATGCCACTTTCAGAAAATTACATATGGTAGCTTTAAAGAGCAAATTCTACCATTCAATTCTAATCTGTCCTCCAGCTCAATTTAAACTGAAGAGTTCCTGCAATGTTGTGATGTCACATGAACACAACCAGTAAAATTGATGGTATGCCTATTACAAACTACAAAAACATGGTGCACTAGCAAGAATTATTTAACCACTGTTAATACAACAAACAGATATATCAGATGTACCAAAGGGTCATGCAGAATGAATCCCAGATCTTCTGAAACATAGTACGAGTCCAGGCAAAAGGCTCTTGTTGAATTTTGATCAGCTGAAGACATACTGTAGTTAAACAAAATGAGTCCAGTGAGTGTCTGCTTGCTGATATGTTTCAAAATCCTTGGACTTTGGACTTTGGAGTCATCAAATGCCATGCTTTTCCACACTAAAAAGCGCCATATTACTCTATTTTCTGATCTCTGTTATAATGTTGTTTCTTCATAAAACATACCCGGAGTAGGGTTTTGTTTCATTCACACATGTTTAACACACAAATCCTACATATTTAGGCTGTGTTCTTCTCTCAAACAGAAAGCACTGTGATGTCATATGGTAATACAGGCGGAACAGAGTATTTTGAGCTTTGGAGATGCAGACAGATGAAACACACATCCAGGTTAACAAATGAATCCAGGTTAATATTTCTGAGGAGTTTTAAACTCACAAGAGTAAATTTTGCATAACATATGATCTTTAATGCTGTGTTTTCAAAACATGTAGCTACTGCATTATTCTTATTTTTTGCCTTTAATTAAGTGACTTTATGCATTGACTTCATAAATGGTTTGGGGAATAAAGAGCAATAGCCTCATCTGCTGGAGATTATTACACATTACAAGAGTTACTTGGAAATTCCCAGTTTTCCCTTTTCTATTATACAGAGAAAAGAAAACTTTTGTGCAATTTATCTCAAAGTGATTGCAGGTTGTCTAGATAAGGTAATTAAATATGGATTTTATTATTACTGCTATAGTACTATCACATAAGGCCCTTGACGGTCAAGGATTGCATTGTTATAGTCGAGCAACATCACGTGACTGAGCAAAAACAAGAAATTTACCTGATGTAGGTTACTTCCATTATTTATATAGACTATAGTTCATACTTGATTATAAACATGGCTATGAGCTTGCATGAGTTCTGCAATTTTGGTCTTTCTGTCTCTCTCTTTTTTCTGTCTCTCTCTCTCTCTCTCTCTCTCTCTCTCTGTCTTTCTCTCTCTGTGTCGCTGTCTTTTTCTGTCCCCCCCCCGCTCTCTCTCTCTCTCTTTCTGCTGTGCCTGCCTAATATTAGCTTGGGCGGCTCGAAGGTGGATCCATGACTGTCTGCGTCTGAACGACAAGCTAAAAACATCGGCGTTTACCTGAAGCCAACACGCATGGCGCTCTGACAGTGATTTTCACGCACATTTTGACAAGGTATTCGCACCGTTTCGGTCACTTGGACGCTTCTTTACGGGCCTCTGCACCTTGCCCTGAAGATGAGGTTAAACACGAGCTCCCGTCAGGTGCACGCCGCATCCGATGGAGCCTTGCTTCCCGTCACGTTTATCGACCAACCCGCTGCAGCAGTTTCTTACGTGTCGGTAAGACAAGAAAAACGTGTTGTTTGACATGCCTCCTTTCGCTTATGCACGTTGTAGTTATAGAAGTACCGACACAAACATACTCCAGAGTCTGTAAGTGGGCGTTACATAACACGTAATGCTGCAGCCTCATGACTAGTGCATTGTGGCGTAAGCGCTGCTCACGCGTGCCTCGATTCAGAATGCGCACACTTCATTTGATCTTTCCGCCTTGTTGGTTGTTGTTTCACTGGCAAAGCCAGTATTTGGTTTCATTTAAGACATTAGAGAATGCTCTGTGTAGTTCAGAGACCCAGAGAGGGCATTGCAGCCTATTATAAGATCTGCATTATAGGCGTACAGGCCTCTGTCCGCCTTTGTGCAGCAGAACCGCTCAATGAGAGGGCATTTTTATGAATGGATACAGCCCTGGGGAGATAATGAGGCTCAAGTCGCTACATGCGGGAGAAGCTTGTTTACTCTACATGTGTTTGTGCAAGTAGGCTTACGTGATGCTTTCATTTAGCAGTAAAGCTGTTAGATCCAAATCACATCAGTCCAGGTAATCAAAATGAGGCAAATGGCACATCTATGTACACAGCAGTGTCTCCTGATATTTCTGAAGTATTTGTAATAACAAGGGCAAGGGCAATTATTGTATAAAGAATTGTGCAGACTAAAAAAATAAATAAAAATAAAGGTTCAAAACATTGTAACCTTCCACCCTATAAAGTTCTTTCTTTGCACTAGAGGAATATGTACAATCAGATTATTCATTCAATTAAAAGTGAACCACACAATGTAATTTCTGGGCAAAAGACAATATAGAGATTTTAGTGTTTTGCCTGGAATGTTCCACAGTATTGCATTACCTCCATCACCTCTCACAGATCTGACCTGTATCTTGCCCTGGTAGCTCTACCTACTTGTCTCCATGGAAATATATATATATATATTGGAACATTCTAGGCAGAGCAATAATATTCCTACAGAAACAATCAGGGGGCAGGAACACCACCAGAAAATTGACATAGTGCATAATTAATATCTATGACCTGCCTTGCAGTAAAAATGATGGCCTGATATCAGTATTGATTCAGGTGCCTGTACTGTTCTAGACAAAGCTCTAGGGTTTCAGGTGCTAATGTTTCCTTTGTGTTATGACAGATCTCCATGTACAAATTCTGATATGGACTATGAGAGGCCAAACGTCGAAACTATCAAGTGTGTAGTAGTTGGGGACAATGCTGTTGGAAAAACACGCCTTATCTGTGCCCGAGCTTGCAATGCCACATTAACACAGTACCAGCTATTAGCTACTCATGTGCCCACTGTCTGGGCCATTGACCAGTACAGAGTATGCCAAGAGGTATGTATTCAAAGTTTCTATTGTTAAACATGATACTGTTGATTAGATTGTTATTGCATGTAGGTATTGGAGCGCTCCAGAGATGTTGTAGATGACGTCAGTGTTTCCCTTCGTCTTTGGGACACTTTTGGAGACCATCATAAAGATCGACGTTTTGCATACGGCAGGTCTGGTAACAAGCTTCAGTTTAACACTTTGTTTTATCCTGATTATGATGTTTAAACTTTTGTTATCAGGTCTGATGTGGTGGTACTTTGCTTTTCAATTGCCAACCCCAATTCTTTGTACCATGTTAAGACCATGTGGTACCCAGAGATCAAGCACTTCTGCCCTCGTGCCCCTGTCATTTTAGTTGGTTGTCAGCTGGACTTGCGTTATGCAGATTTGGAAGCAGTGAACAGAGCACGGAGGCCTTTGGCAAGGTTAGAACTTTTGAAGAATGTTGAGATTAAGAAAAACAGTAAAAATATATGGATGTATGTTATTTTTCAGGCCAATAAAGTCAAACGAGATCCTTCCTCCAGAGAGAGGGCGTGAGGTGGCAAAGGAGTTGGGAGTGCCATATTATGAAACAAGTGTTGTTGCTCAGTTTGGAGTCAAAGACGTTTTTGATAATGCTATCCGAGCTGCTCTTATCTCCCGCCGACACCTCCAGTTTTGGAAATCTCACCTCAGAAATGTTCAGCGTCCTCTTCTTCAGGCTCCTTTCCTCCCACCCAAACCTCCACCCCCAATAATCACAGTACCTCCCCCACCAGCCACCACAGAGGAGCACCCTGTTGGCCTTTTGGAGGACCCACACTGTGCTGATGTCATCCTGGTGCTACAAGAGAGGCAGAAAATATTTGCACACAAAATATATCTGGCAACATCATCTTCAAAGTTCTATGACCTCTTTATTATGGAAACACAAAATGAGGAAACAGAAAAACCGCCTCGTGCGCATCTCTCTGGCCGAGAACTGCTGATGCGCGCTGCTAGTTTTGATGTATGTGAAAGTAGCGATGAAGGAGACAGGGCAAATCTTAGGGCCTGCACTAGTGATGGCACCTTGAAGGACTCAGAGGGCACCAGACACAGCAGGCTGCTGTCCACCTGGAGTCGAGCCTTTGTTAGCATTCAAGAAGAACTGGTGGATGATCCATTAACATACAGTCCCCGCCCCATGACTGTAGTGCACATGGACCAGTCCATGCAGCTCAGTCCTTTCCGAGCAGTGCTTCGGTATCTCTACACAGGTCAGCTGGATGAGAATGAAAAAGAGCTAATGCACATTGCACATTGCTGAGCTACTGGAAGTCTTTGACCTGCGCATGATGGTGGCCAACATTTTAAACAATGAAGCCTTCATGAACCAAGAAATCACCAAAGCCTTTCATGTACGACGCACAAATCGGGTGAAAGAGTGCCTGGCCAAAGGCACATTTTCAGGTTAATAAACATGACTTGAGTTGTTTGTCTCTGAGCTACAAGGAATATAAAAATTAAAACATTTTGTGTTACAGATGTTGTCTTCAAACTGGATGACGGGACAATTATGGCTCACAAGCCTCTGCTCATTGCAAGTTGTGATTGGATGGCAGCTATGTTTGGCGGGCCTTTTGTAGAAAGCAGCACCAAAGAGGTCAGAGAAGCCAGATCTTACTTCCTCCATATAACTGTTGTAGCTTGTATTTAGCTTACATCCAGTCAAAATATCTGTGACTGTAATAATAAACGTTTAAAAGCATTTATTTTCTGCCATTTCGTTAAAATTTTTCTGATTTGCCATATTTTAACACAATTTTAACACCCATTTCTTTTGAAGGTACTGTTTCCTAACACAACACGCAGCTGCATGAGGGCTGTGCTTGAGTATCTCTACACAGGACGCTTTTGTTCCAGATCAGACCTGGATGCCATGGAGCTTATTGTTCTTGCCAATCGTCTTTGTCTCCCTCACCTAGTTGCACTTACAGGTATTTGCTGCTATGTTAATTTTATAATTATTATTGCTTTATCAAGTCCAAAACTGGGTCTCTGTTTCTATTTCAGAACTCTATACAGTAACAGTGTTGACAGAAGCAGCAATGATGGGGGCTGACATTGATGGGGATGTGTTGGTGTATTTGGATATGGCCCAGGTATTTTTGGTACTTGTATTTGTAAATGTATTTGTAAATGTATTTATAAATGTTATTATTTAATGTTTTTGGTGTTAATGCTTAAAACATGTCTCTCTAGTTCCATGGTGCCCAGCAGCTCACTGGCTGGTGCCTGCACCACATTTGTACCAACTATAACAGTGTATGCAGAAAGTTTCCTCGAGATATGAAGGCCAAATCTGGAGGTAGTATGTTTACCCTATTTTTGTGACATATTTTGTACGTCACTTGTGTCTGAAGAAGTTTGATTTATGCATACAGAAAACCAAGAATATTTTGAGAAGCATCGTTGGCCCCCTGTATGGTACCTGAAAGAGGATGACCACTACCAAAGAGCTCGAAAAGAGCGTGACAAGGAGGACTACCTGTACCAGAGACGACAGTGTAAACGCAAGTGGCTTTTCTGGAACCTCCCTTCCTCTCCCAACTCACACTCCCCTTCATCTGGTCCTTCTGCTATCATCTGACATATTATTAGTAAGGCTAATCCTCCCTGGTATCCACAACTATTGCTATCTACTCTTATTATTTTTTCTTCATCAAGTGAAAAAACACATGGTCAGCAGGGTGGATTGTTCATATCCATACATTATTCCATACATTATATTCAAAGAAAAAAAAAAAAAAAAAAAAAAATATATATATATATATATATATATATATATATATATATATATATATATATATATATATATATATATATATATATATATATATATATATATATATACCATTTACCATTTTACCACCATCTGACATGAACTACAGTGATGCACTTTCAACATGGAAACTAAAATGCTGCTTATATGATGTACACTGACCAGCGCTTGAGCTCAAATCTCAGAAACACGATGTTTGTGCACAACAGTTTCATCACCATTGTAGGACTGCGTCTATAATAAACTGAAACTTTCACCATACTAACAGGTACATCACCGCATATATGGAAACTGTACAGGACTCCATTTCACTCTTGGCTATCATGATGAATCAAAAACATTTAAGCATTTCTGTATCATAATCATGTGATCATGGCTTTACTTACAAAGGGCTTTACGTTACATGAATGCATTCAGTGTCTTGTGAACCTAAATGTCTGGACTATATCTGAACATTTCTGAACAGACAAACATTACTTTGACTTTGTGTAAGTAAATGAGCAGCTTGTTCATATACACTTAATTTGTTGACCACATGTTCAGTATATTTTAGATTAAGCGGGTTTGAATAATCTGGCACCTCTGGTGCAAACGGAAAATGCTGCTCAAAGTTTCCTTATTTCTAAGAGAACAACTTTCTCTATGAGAAGGCAACTCATGCACTTTCTGAACACTACATAGGTCTACACAGTCCCTTAAAAGAAAACACTATAGCAGGCAGTTCTGTTCTCTTTGGTGAAGAAAATTAAGATGAATCTAGTATTAGATCTTTTCTGAAGACTTTTATGTAACATGTCTGCACACATCTAGACAACAGCAGATTAATAAGTATGGTGCTTAGTTGAGCTTTATGTACTGTAATGAGTCACTTTAAGTTATACAATACTGTGCACTGCGGGCAGTGAAGAAAACAGTATCAGATAATAATACTCTTCTATTCTGTCATTGTGCAGCTACTGTAACTAAAGATTAGTGTATTTTAAATCGGTCATATATTGTATGAGGTAAAACACATGCATTGAATGTTACGTGCTTGTAATGCTTTTATGGCACTAAGTAATGGGGTTGAGGGTCAAGTGACTTTTATTGGGGTTTTCATAGTCAAACCACCGACCTTCAGTGTAATGTACATGTCAACAGAATAATTGCAGTGAGTGTCCTAAGCAGCAGACTTCTTTCACATTAATTTATAAAAAAATGTAATGACTTAGAAGTTATGGATATAATTCAGAAGCAGAGACCATTTTATCTATAGAGGTCAATATAGATGTAGTAAAGTTTCTCATTATTCAAATAGGAATAAGAACATAATGTACCATAAAGAACATCTCATGCTTTACTCTGTTGTAATATTTTGAAGGTCTGTGTTGGCGTTGCCTTAATGTTCATGTTTCTGGTAGATGAATGTAATCAGTGTTAGTTACTACATGTTGTAGTTTACTGGTTTGTTGTTTTGTCCCATGGTGCTCTCTAGACAGTCTGTGTGAATGTAATGTACTGTTGTCATTATGTGGATGTATAACGCAGATCTAGAGAGGACTATGTGCTATAACTGGAAAAGTGTTATGTCCTGTTATATGGATCAGTGTAACTTGAACACAACAATGAATGATTCTGCCTAAGGCTACTCATTGACATGAAACATTTTAATGAATGCAGGGATTCAGGAATTATTATGTTATTTTCTATTGTTTTAAGCCTAATATACTGTCTTTGGATGTCATTTAAATCAGTTGTTTACTAAAACTCTTAAATGTTGTTATTATAAATGTAAATATTATTGGAATGTAAATGCACAATCACTTTGATTGGCATAACAATTAGCATTAGTTATGGCATAGTTTAATAACATTTTGTACTATGCATTAAGCTTATGGCTCTAAAACATATTGCACTGCTTTATTGCCCCAATTTCTATTCAAATTACATAGTGGATAAATAATAGCACCATCAGTGAAGACCTACTTTAGATTTTTTGATGAAAGTACAAAATATGTTGTCTTTGAACCCTTGTCTTTGGGTGCTAATATGCTAAAACTACAGCTGCAGATAAGCACAAACCAAAGGGAGCTTAAGCAGCACCAGGAGGACAACCATGAGGCTCAATAGGTCTAAGTATGCTGCACAATCATAGTTTAAGCATAGTTTAAGGGGCCTTGTTCAAAAGTGGATTCAATATTCAACAAGGGAAAAAAAAAACTTGAATGTTTTCAGTGTTAAATCTTAGATGACAATTTCTAGTCATCAGGTTATTTTCTTCAGAAAAAAGGTTTTGTTGTTTACAAAGTGTACATTTAAAAAATCTGTAGCATGTATTCTTGAAAATGTGAAATATTGAATAAACAAACAGAAGCAACTCAACATGTGTCCAGTCACGTCACTGAAATGTAATGCTAGCTCATACGTCATACATATCTGCTGCGCTGACACGGATCAGACCAACGAGGAAACAAACAACAAGCGCACAATACACCGCCGGAACAAGTTAAGAAAATGGTATGAGACTTTAAGTTAACAGTTGATAAAACAAAATGAAATGTTGCTAATATAAATTAATAGGCCTACTCGCTGAGTTAGTTTACTTTTATAGAGATAACTTACATAAGATAACATGCTGATGGTGTGGAAGATTTGGTCACTCACTACTAAACTACCTTCACTACTCCCTGCCTTTTTTGTAATAATTATTAATGAATTATTTGCAATTAATCTTTTTAAATTGGTACTTTTCATGAAAGCAATCGTCTTTCTGTCTAGCTTATATTCAGGGTAGACGGGAACAAGTGCCACGAGTATGATCACGTGGTTTCCTAGCCCATGATTCCGTGAGCTCTGAATTGAAGCCCGCGAAGTTTGATCACTTGACCTCCACTAATTCTTTTAAACGGTCCCAGTAACGAAATATTAAACCACCAGCTTGTCTTTTCTGTCAGTTATTATATTGTTATTATGTAGGGACCTTGGACACATTTTCTTGCCTTGGCCATGGCTCTCTGTCTGTGCCAGAGTGAAATCACAGAAGAAAAACTGAGCACCCTGGACGTGTCATTCTGCAAGTAAGAGTTACATTTAGTAACAAAGATCCCAACACATGAAAACAAGTCTAAGCCAGTAACCTAATATTATGCTGTCTTTAAACAGAGGCAGTTTGAAGGTGATCTATCCAAAGTTGGACATCAGTGAATGTCTTGTGATCCCACAGCACTTTAGAGAGGAGATCAGCACAGTGTGGAAGGCCCCAGACATTTACTTTTCAGCAGCCAAGGAGGTAACAGACCGTAGCCTATGTTAGTTTCTGTCTACAATATAACTTTTCTGAAATATTTTAAAGGTGCACTATGTAGCTTTTCTAGTAAAGGCTCTGCCAACTGCTTGTCACTATGGGCATCAATCAGTCAATCAAAGTTTATTTACACAGCACTTTAGAACACAGAGAAGACTAAAGTGAAAAAAATACACAGTGAACAATTTTAAATATATAATATAAATCAAACAAACAAACAAACAAACAAAAACATTTAAGTGGCACAATGCTAGGTGTTGAAAGCCAAAGAAAAATCTTTAACCTGGACTTAGACAGGACAGGTCAAAGGTTACAGGCAGACTGGGGGGCAGACTGTTCCACAGTTTAGTTGCAGCAATTACAAAGGAACAATCACCCTGCTGTTTGTTCCTGCACCTGGGCATGTCCAAAAGCATTTGGATGGAGGACTGCAGAGCTCTGGATTGATGGATGGATAAAATGTTTGACAAATACTATGGATCAAGTCCATGAAGACTTTTAAAAACAAACATTTTTAAATCAAGATGTTGAGGTGGTATAGCTTTGGCCAAAATGTTCAACAATATGGTATTTTTTGGGCAATAGAAACACCTGTAATTGAATATATTTAAGACAGAGAAGTGCTATACTGTGGAACAACAACAGCTCCACAATTACACGCCAGCAATAGACCATCCATCAGAAAAGATAAATAGTGCCCTTTTACGGTAAATTTGTATTAGTAGCACCTGGAAACTTGTGGAGTAACGTATACCATCTTTGGAAATAGTGCATAACTCAAACACAGGAGTAGTAACTAATAAAAGTCCTCCCATTACTGAAGATTTAGATGTACAATTCTATTCAATTTCTATAAACCTCGTTGGAATGTTATTTGCCTGTGTGACCAGAAGGTGGTGCTAGAGCTTCATGGGATCTTAGACCGTATCGGCAGTGACTTTAATAAAGAGGCTGTTAACGTTTTATTCATCATTATTATAACACAAATTATCATTATACACAATGGGTTAGTATTTATTATAATATCTCGATCTTGAGACCAAAAAAAAAAAAACCTTTGGGTAAAAATTTGTAATTTTAATGTAATTAACAGGCAAGTTATTTAGATACATAAAAAATGTTATAAATACAATCAAATATGCAAATTACTGTGACCTCAAAGAAAGGGTAATACACTATGATTATTAAAGAAACTCCAGTGAATGTAGTCAGAGGCCATTATAGTTTACATTGGAGAACATCATAAATATTACATATACACTTAAATAGGGCTTCAATTTTGCTGAATAATTACTCTAGCAATTATTGTCTCGTGTCTCCATTAATCAATCATTAGTTTGCATTGTGTACAGTTTATTAATATACATTTTTACTATGTTACAGAGATTAAGATAAAGTGATCATGTTGGAGTATATCTATAAACAAAATTCATCAAATTAATAAATTAAATATTTAAGTAAAAATGCCAAAAAAGTGTCAAATGTTTCGTTTGTGATTCTGCATCATAACTGCGCTGTCTGAGTGATAAAACCTCTTTTCTCAGCAAATGCAATATTAAGACGCTTGGGTTAGAGCCCAGGTAACAATGATTGATTTCCAAATTGGTTGACAATTATTTTAATAATTGATTAGCTGTTATTAATTGACAAATTTTTTCAGCACTAGAGCAATTAAAAAACATAACAATATAAAATCATTTGTACGCATTCATTTTGTGCATTGTTCAGTGACTCTCTTTGTTGCTCTTTGTTTGGTAACAGATTGGGGGTGCTGCTCAGATCTCAGCACCCCTGTGAACTGACACCAGGCTGTGCTTCTGTAAAATGAAAACTTAAATGGGAAGCCTCCTCGATTCAGTTCTGCGTTATGAATTCCAGAGCTAAGCAGTCTAGCACCACCATGATGTATTGCCCTTCTGATGCCCAAACTCCACTTGATCTATGAGCGTATTATCTGTAATGCTGTCTTACGTGATTCTCTTTTATTGCCAGAATTGGTGTCAGACAGAAAAACTGATTACACATGAGATTAGATCAATACAAACTTTATCTACTTGGCTTTGAACTGTATTTCTCCCCTTGTTCTGACACTTCACCAAACAACCACTGCAAAAGATCAACAGTGTGATCATCTGGACTAGGTCTGCCATCTCGCCACCATCGCTGTAATTCTCTGCCACTCAGCGCTTGTATTCAGAAACATAACTACAGGATAGTGGCCACTCCAGCTCCTATCCACCCACAGCCTCCCCCTCTGTATTACTGGGATGGATGTATGCCGGCTGAGCTACTGAAACAGAGCTCTATGGGCTGCTGCATCCCACAACCCCAATCTCACTCACAAGGCCTTCTTGCCCAAAATTTTGTACATCATAACAATTAGTATGAGTAGCATTCATTTAGTTTAGTCTTTAGGTCTCTTCTTACAAAACTTTCCCATAGTTACCCATAACATTATACATAACAAATTAAATCATATGATAATACATATTTGCAAATGAGTAGAAATTTGCACAGAAACCAAATGCAAATAATTGTGTGAGAGTATGTTGACCTTTGAACTGGACAGGCTGGCATGTCTTCCTCATTTCGAGCTACAAACAAAACACTTTGGAAAGTCATATTTTTAACACAAAATATTAAACTTGGAATTTTTAAAGACCCATAAATGAATAATTCATGTTGAAAATGTAGCATGATCAAGTTTGGGAATTTATTTCAGATGCCCTATTTGTGCATGCATTATTTCTTGTACATGTCCGAATAATTATATGAATAATTTATTGACCAGCACTTACATATTTAGATTTACAAATTATCTAAATTAGTTTGAAAGAAGTGCAAATAAACTGTCTCAAAATTATTATTTTGAAAAAACAATACAACATATTTTGTTTGCAATAATATAAAAATATATTTTTGCTTTTAGATAAAACACAAAAAGTGCTTGTTTTTGTGAATGCTAATGCACCTTGTAAATTAATACTTGGGTTAAGGTGAGATATACACACTTTTAACTACCATCACTGCCTATACTTTGAAGGAAAATTACTAATTTACATTTCCACCAAACTTAAAGTAAAGGCAAATTTAGTTGTGTTGTTTCCTTTTTCAGCGAAGACTGTTGCCACAGGGCATTTTCTTAGACATGGGGATTTCAAAGCCTTGTTTTTGGGTAGCATTTCTTGCATCTGGTGGATGGAATGAGGGTTTAAACCATTACTGCGATTAGAGCTGCCTCACTATGATCTCTTGAGCTTGCTTACTGCTGCTAATAGCTGTTTCCTCTATATTTCCCTATATCTTTTCCCTTCTTCTCTTTCTCTCTCTCTGTGAATGATTTTTATGCTCTGCTAAAACATGTGGGGGCGTATAGAGAGGATTTAAATGCACCGATCCCCCTCCTCTTTTTTGGTGAATCTCGACGTTCTTTTCTGTGCCTCTGATGACGACAGGGCAGCTTTAAGCCTGGCAGTGCCCACGGCAGGCTGCCGTCTCAGAGCTGCCCACTCTCCGTGGTGCTGGCATGTGGGAGCGTGAGGGTGGGGTTCCTCTCGAGTCCCTGCCATTCCCAGGAAGGCCTTAACAGCCACATACATAGTAGTTGTTCTTCAGAATTAGACCTAGTTTAGTGGACATAATTTTAGTAATGTCAAAAATAAACTTGTGAAAATATGTATAATTTATTTTTAATACATTATCCATATCTATCTATCTATATGCCTTTTTCTAAATTCATACTTGCACTGATTAGGTAGGTGGTGGCTCTATGGGATTATAGGACCCTGTGTAGCATTCAGAGACTTGTATTTCTTCATGTAATGTTCTCCTTTTTTCATTATAGTGTGCTGCTATGACCCACGTCCTTAATTTAGTTCAGGATTTGGGTCTACCCTTGGAGCTGGAGTATTTTGTGCCATGAATACTTCTTATCTGTATTGCCATAGAATAAGTATATTGAATAATTTTGACTGTCATTTCACTATTTTCATAATATTTTTGTAGGACTAGACGCCAAAAAGTCCCAATTTTTTATCCTCATATCAAATTTTTGATTAAATTTTACTTGCCCCATTAAAACAAATACAATGGCTTGCATTATTGATTTCGTGAACATAAATATTATAGACTTACAATGAATCACTGCCATTTAACACAAAAAATGTTTTGTTTTGTATTTTCTGCAAAGTCTGATCTTTGCTCCAAACCACATGCGTTTACTGACCAATTGATTTAAAAGATCCAAGCTGATTTCTTTTTCTTCTTTGAAGAGAACAGTGCAGAAGACTTAGTTTAACTCATAAACTTGTGTAAATTTATGAATTAGCATTCAAATCTATTGTGGTAATAATAGCAGCATAAAAATATCACAGCAGTCCAGAAGATAATGGTCAGATTTGAATGCAGTTTAAAAGTGGCATAACATTATGCATACATCTTCAGACTAAGGATTTGACATGTGTTTCTCAGTTCATTTTTGGGACATGAAATACAGAAGAGCAGAATTTTGAATCAATGTACTATTTCCATTGTCAAATTTGATTTGATGAAATTTGGGAGAGGTTCAGTAACAAGACCTGGTATAGACTGCAGCAGTTCTTTAATGAAAAAGGCACGTGAAGCGCTGGCTTCTGTTTATTATTCATTATTCACATCACTTCATATACATTGATGTCAAGATCTGTTCAAACAGACATTCATAATCTGCATGGGAAGTGCATCTGCTGAGGTGCATACTTAAACAAACACACAAAATTAAATTTCTATTTATGGGAGCCTCAGAAATCTAATGTTTGTCTCGGAATCATTGTCATCTGCAGGTGATGGTACTATGGCACAGTGAGATACTGTTTTTGCGTGCCCTTTGTCCATCAGGGAAATGTCTGACCTCAAACAAACTGAAATGTACAGATTACAGATTTTACAGAAACTATATTAACCAAGAGGAGTCCAAAAGGAAAAAAAATTACCTGAGGGAATGTGGT